AAATTTTTAAATTAATTGAAATATAAATATAACTTTTACGTGACTTTTCTCGAGTATATCGTTTTAATTTAAAATGAATTTTAAGAGTTCAGATGTAAATATTTTTAAATTTGAATGTTGTGTAGTGTCTCTTAATGACGAAAATCGTGGAAACGAAATCCTGGCCTTGCATTGGCTAACAGTAACCTTACGCCGAGCCTATAATTCAATCTTCGAGTTTGTACTCGAGTTTCGTTCTTGTTTTGCGATTCGACGAACGAAACACACGGCTACGTGTGCTGAAATAAAATTAAACCGCACTTAAACGGTGCATTCGAATGAAATTGTATATTCTAACTGTACACGTACATTCTTGTTTCCCCTTTTCTTTTTCCTTTAAACAAAAATAGAAATAACAAGAGAAAGCGAAAGCAGTTAACATCTAACAGTTAATGTTTCAAATGTGTTTGCTTGACAGTTCGCGAGATTTCTAAATTTCGAGTGACAATGAAATATCCTGCTTGTAAAGTAGTATCAAGTAAAAACTAATATGCAAATAATGGCATACTTTCTGTCAACGATTGTCATTTGCTGTAATTATCTATGTTATCTATCGTGAAATTAAACTCGCGGATAATAGACTTATCTTGCTAGTAATTTTTTAATTAGAAATCTGATACCCAACTGAATTCTCTTACATCGGCGAACTGAATATTGTTTTAATAATATGGGAAAATAATTTCTTTGTCTACAGTATCTGATTGAGAACACATATAGATAAGTAACAAAGTACCTCTAACTTCGAAACGAAATTATATTGATTTGGCTAGAAGAAACAATTATTCCATTTTATTCCAGCGTTTATAAAATGATTATTCGTTTATAAAGTGACAATAATTAATTGCTTACAGATCATTCTACTGTCCGTTGGTTTGCTGAATTTATCGACAGCCGCACCAGACAGTGCAGGAATCGTAGAAATGGTGAACGGACTGGCGTATGGTAAGTCAGTCTGCTTACTTTCCTTTTTACGTTGCACAACCCGTGCCAACAGAACGTAATCTCACATCTTAATTTATAAACAAATAATTTTCTTACTTTATCATGTATTATCATTATAATTAGCTTCAAAGTTGATAAAAATAACCACTATGCTTTCACACATTCGATTAAACCGCAACAGAGGACGGCACTGAGGTTCGAGACACGTTTCCTTCGAATTCCTTTCACTTTTATCGTAAACGTTTTAAATTGACAATTAAAGTGGAAAATCACTTCATTCCATCGGACAAGGTTATAGAAACAGGATAAAATAATATTGGATTTTATTGGAGTTTTCAATCGCGTGTGGTACTTCGACTTCAGTATAGAAACCTCAATGCGCGCAGTGGAGATTTCAACGCTTGCACAGGCGGTGTCGACTTACAATATCGCTACGAATATCTTGCAGTCAGATTCAAATCGTATCCGCCACGTAGAAACGTAACTGCAATGTAAAAGCAATCATTATAATTGTTATTTTGAAGATAAAATATTGTTTAACTTTTTTAAAAAATATATAATGAAGCATCGTTAATTAAAAGTTTGTCTAACTTTTTCTTTCAGTTTAACTCGACTCAGTTTTTAGAACTATGATGCTTATTATGAATATATTATTAATTATTATTATTTTATTTGTTCTTATTGTATATTTATA